GGGGGGGGGGGGGGGGGTTGCGAGAGATGAAACAAAAAAGAGTAGGAAGAAAATGGATGAAAGAGGGTGAAAAAGATTTAATAGTTTCTTTATCTTGGGGCAAAATTGTCATTATCAAATAAATATGTATGGTGTCACTGTGTTTGAGATGTAAGATGAACGTCTAAGATGGTAAGGGTAGTTGTTGCAACGGTGTTATAAACTAGAAGGAAGTGCATTGATATTTCAGAAAATATAAGGGGTGTCTCTGAAGCTATGCATATATACAAGGGGTGTCAATGAAATTTACTCAAGATTGAAGTTACAACAACTCTGAATTTCTGTTTAAAGATCACCCAAATAAAATTATAAGAGTTACAATTTGGGACTAAGGTTGTGACTTGGAATTACTTAGATCATAAGTCAATTTGGGGTTTGAGTTATGCAACTCAGGTTCATAGAACGCTAAGGGTATCCACAAGCCCATTATCTATGTTTTAAACAAACGTTGAAAAAATGGAAAAAAAAAAACACGACACAATTGTAAATGCTGATCTTTTTAAGTATGTTGGTTTTCTCACATAGTTTGGTTCAACTGAATGTTGAACTGAGGATGTTCTTACCTTGTGAGTAAGCTGGGACTTATGCTCAAGTTTCTAGATTATTAGTGACGGAGTAAAGTCTTTTTTCTTGTTTTAAAAGATAACAGAGTGAAAACTTGCACACATGCATGCATGCACCTAGCACTGTTTGTTTATAGATTTTGTAATGTGTTGTTTTATAGTAGCCAATCTGGTGGTTAGTGACCAGCTTATGATGTGGGCTGGAGGAGTTGTGGGTGCCAACCAACTGACTTGGGCCCTATGGTTTGTTCCTTTTGGGGCAGGTCTCTTCCCTCTAGCAGCTTTATAGAGTAACTAGCAATAATCCCGTGTCTGAGGACACTTACAAAACCAAAAATTGAACATTGATCATACAACATTTAATATTTATTTATTTTTCTTTAATCACGCAATTTAAAATTCAATGAGCAAAAATAAAATAGGAAAGATGTAGGGGAGAGAAAAGAGAGGTATATATGTGAATTAGTGAGGTTGTCTGGCATTGGGGCCTTGCAGAAGAGAAATTGATGTTTTTGGGCGAGAAAAAAATTTTGGGGATGAATTTTGTACCAGATCAAAGTAGATGAAGATTGAATCAATTTTTACCATTGTTGTGCTTTTATAAGTTGATAATTCAATTTCTTAGTTGTAATATTAGGTAGATTTAGACATGTACTGATTTCATTTAAAAATGAAAGAAAAAAAATTTACAGTATGTTTGAAATAGAAAATTCTAGAAGATGATTTGATGGGCCATAAATGGGTCGTCCTTGAGGTTTTGCTTTCGAGCACTAAGCGAACACTGGTGTATTTCATTTTTAGGAAATTCTCGAAGACCTGATTGCATTAATTATTTTATTTCTGAAGAATCTGAACTAGGAGTAGGGAACTTGAACCGGTAACCTGCCAACTGGCCACAAGGACACAGACATGTTCTAGTTTTTGACACCCTTAGTTGTTACTTTCATAATTTCTTTGCAAATTTTGGAGCTTTGAAACACATATATTTGGATAGGTGGCTGAATTCAGTAGTCCTGGTAGTGGGTACTATTGAACAGGGGATTGTTACGCATGCTCATACCAAAGTGTGTAGTTCCCGTAATTTGCCTTGTATGAAATGCTTATGGTCAATTTCTGCAGGTAATGTTCCAAAATTCCCACGAATCAAGGTTTGGAATCCTTACAAGCGCCTTGGTATAAGTCCTGATGCTTCTGAGGAGGAAGTCTGGAGTTCTCGCAACTTTTTGTTGGATCAATATGCTGGTCATGAAAGAAGTGCAGAATCAATAGAAGCTGCTTTTGAGAAAATATTGATGGTCAGCTTCAGAAATAGAAAGAGAACGAAGATCAACTTGAAAAGCAGGCTAAAAAAGAAAGTAGAGGAGTCTCCACCTTGGGTTAAAAATTTGCTCAATTTTGTAGAAGTTCCTCCTGCTGTCATTATCCTCAGAAGATTGTTCCTTTTCTCTTTTATGGCTTGTTGGAGTGTGATGAATTCTGCTGAAGCGGGGCCTGCTTTCCAGGTTTATAATACATCTTGTATTCTAATTATAAAGTTATCTTAATGACAATTTAGCTAATTGTTGCCAATTACTTATTGGGGAACTCATGTCCTGGTGGTCAGAATTTTTTCAATGCATTTGAGGGCAATATTTTGATTCTAATGCTTTATTAGTCTAGAGTTATCCTAGATGTTGCCTTTATCAGATTTAATCTGAGTTAAATTTTCATGTTTTGCCTCGGGCGTTAAATTGTTTAAAAAATGCTGCATTTAAGGAGGATGCACTACTGCTTGGTCCCAGTTTTTATTGTTTTGCGTCTGGAGGTAAATCTATGTTTCACATGTTTATGGGGAACAGACATAGCAAGTAACTCTCCCTCTCTCTCTCCCCCCGCCCCCCTTTCTTTTCTTTTCTGTGTGTGTGTGTGTGTGTGTTATGTAATAGCATTCAAATATGCACATTTGAAATGTGTGCCTTGTCTTGCTTAGTGAAGCCTAGATTGTGATATTGCTTTTTATTCTACTTGCTCTTTGCATCTGCATCAAGAGACACTACATTTCGGATATCAGATACCAGTACATTTTAACTTTGTCTTCCAATGCAGGTGGCACTTTCTTTGCTAGCTTGCATATACTTCCTGAATGACAAGACAAAGAGCTTAGGTAGAGCTTTCGTTATCGGGTGAGCTTATAATTGATCAATGGGGGTTTCATTATTTATCCCCACCCTCACCTTTTTTTGCCCCCCTCTTTCCCCCTTTTCTTTGTTCAATTGTTATACTAAAGGTTGATCTTCTTCGTTGCAGATTTGGAGCCCTTGTGGGAGGCTGGATTTGTGGCTCTTTCTTGGTTCCATTAGTCCCTTCAGTTCTCTTCCAACCAACTTGGACACTAGAACTAGTAACATCACTGGTGGCGTATGTCTTCTTGTTTCTTGCCTGTACTTTTCTTAAATAAACCCCCGATTACACTACCATCAAGTTTTTTTGTTCCTTTGGAGATTGGAACGGGATCTTGTTACTTATGGCTGAGGGAAAGGTTCCATAAAGTTTATGAATAACTTTTGAGCCATTGAGAAATTTCAATTTTGTGAAGAAGTTAGTATTAGTTGTTTACACGACATTTTTTCTTATGGGTAGAAAAGACTGATGGCATGTTGGGAACGGTAGCAAGTACAGAGCAGCAAATATTTCCCTTGTATATTTAGAGCTTCACTGGTTCAAAGGAGTATTTTACATGACCACGCGACCATGGATGATTTCTTTTGACAATCTTTAGAAGGGACTTTTCGAATAGAAAGAAGTTTTGCTTAAATAACATTGAGATTTCAAGGACACACATCATAACTACTCAAACTTTTTTATTATAAATGGATGTGCAAAAGGTGAGCAATGTAGTCCAAAAGAACAGAGAGTAACACGAGCAATGCTATGTACACTAAATTTGTGCACCAATTTATTGTCGGTTGTTGAATTAGTGGGACCCATTATCATCCAATGGCTTATAATAATTGGTGTACACTTTTGGTGTACAAATTTAGTACACAAAATTATCCATTTAACATACGCAATAAACACATCCAAGTATAATAACTGACAAATCTAATGTCACTGACTGCCCTGTTTGACATATTACTTAAACAATGAAAAAAGCATGGTTCAAGGGTAGCCTTTATGTCTCTTGAACCCATCTGCTCGGTTGTTTCTCAGAGCACAGCAACCCAGAGAATAGACAATGAGGATGATAACAAGGATGATGAAGTTGATAATGGCCAATTGCCTCCACTCTCTCTTCATGTTGCCAAGAACTCCGACCTTGCACGACTTGCAGTCGAAGCACAGCTGCATCTGGTCGTTGCTCCACGTCGTGCAGTCGGAGTCAGGCACGGCAGGGCCGGATTTGGGGGCTGTCCAGACGGTGGCGTTCTGGAACTGGAAGCCACAGTAACTGGGAGGCTTACAGCAGCCCGACTGAAGAAACCAAAAGCCATGATAGTTTTAGAATTATGAGAGAAAATATTTGTAGTACCCTTATCAGATTTATTTTCTAGTAACTTTGCATCAATATCACAAGGGAGGAATCTCTCTCTCTCTCTCTCTCTCTCTCGGCAACAAGTGAGGAAAGGTTTGTCAGTTACAAAACTACCTCTTGAAACCGCTCAGACTTCAATATAACCAACTTTATCATGATAGTAACCTCTCCAACTCCAGACCCAATTCATTAACTTCTACACACACACAAAACCCACAGAGCTTAATTACTCAAAACGATGTTGATCAAGTATCTCAATATTATTCTTATTCCCACCTGGTACTCTTATATATATAATTTCACTTCCCCATAAAGATGGTGGAGTACTTTGGCTGTGGGAATCAAGACTATTACGATAAAGTTAATAAGTTCATCAAAGATTTAAACCGCAGGGAGGAAATTAGTACTGAAACTGAAAGACAAACCAAAAAGGAGAAAGTAAGAAAAACTGTAGAAATAGATTATTTAAACCAGAAAAACAGTTGAAATAGACAATTTTTATAACTAAAAGGAGTAATTTTCCAAATAAAAATGACTTCGGAATATCAACATACTTCTCATTTTTGCCTAAATTTCATAAATCATAAAATAGGTGGGATGTCCGAGTTTACGATTTGCAAAAAATTCAATCCTATACCATTGGACTACATGTGTGAGTTTTACGAGAGAATCTTATAACGCCAAAAATTGTAACACCAAATATATGAATATGAATAATGAAAGTAATCAAATCAAAAAAAGAATTCAATGCTGCAAACTGAATTATTCATACAGTTAACATACCGTTCGTGCAATGCACAAAAGCATCCAAAGTTAGATTAGATCAGATCAAACTTTTGAGCATAAACGCAACAAAAGAACTTAATTAATGAAAATANACGCAATAAACACATCCAAGTATAATAACTGACAAATCTAATGTCACTGACTGCCCTGTTTGACATATTACTTAAACAATGAAAAAAGCATGGTTCAAGGGTAGCCTTTATGTCTCTTGAACCCATCTGCTCGGTTGTTTCTCAGAGCACAGCAACCCAGAGAATAGACAATGAGGATGATAACAAGGATGATGAAGTTGATAATGGCCAATTGCCTCCACTCTCTCTTCATGTTGCCAAGAACTCCGACCTTGCACGACTTGCAGTCGAAGCACAGCTGCATCTGGTCGTTGCTCCACGTCGTGCAGTCGGAGTCAGGCACGGCAGGGCCGGATTTGGGGGCTGTCCAGACGGTGGCGTTCTGGAACTGGAAGCCACAGTAACTGGGAGGCTTACAGCAGCCCGACTGAAGAAACCAAAAGCCATGATAGTTTTAGAATTATGAGAGAAAATATTTGTAGTACCCTTATCAGATTTATTTTCTAGTAACTTTGCATCAATATCACAAGGGAGGAATCTCTCTCTCTCTCTCTCTCTCTCTCGGCAACAAGTGAGGAAAGGTTTGTCAGTTACAAAACTACCTCTTGAAACCGCTCAGACTTCAATATAACCAACTTTATCATGATAGTAACCTCTCCAACTCCAGACCCAATTCATTAACTTCTACACACACACAAAACCCACAGAGCTTAATTACTCAAAACGATGTTGATCAAGTATCTCAATATTATTCTTATTCCCACCTGGTACTCTTATATATATAATTTCACTTCCCCATAAAGATGGTGGAGTACTTTGGCTGTGGGAATCAAGACTATTACGATAAAGTTAATAAGTTCATCAAAGATTTAAACCGCAGGGAGGAAATTAGTACTGAAACTGAAAGACAAACCAAAAAGGAGAAAGTAAGAAAAACTGTAGAAATAGATTATTTAAACCAGAAAAACAGTTGAAATAGACAATTTTTATAACTAAAAGGAGTAATTTTCCAAATAAAAATGACTTCGGAATATCAACATACTTCTCATTTTTGCCTAAATTTCATAAATCATAAAATAGGTGGGATGTCCGAGTTTACGATTTGCAAAAAATTCAATCCTATACCATTGGACTACATGTGTGAGTTTTACGAGAGAATCTTATAACGCCAAAAATTGTAACACCAAATATATGAATATGAATAATGAAAGTAATCAAATCAAAAAAAGAATTCAATGCTGCAAACTGAATTATTCATACAGTTAACATACCGTTCGTGCAATGCACAAAAGCATCCAAAGTTAGATTAGATCAGATCAAACTTTTGAGCATAAACGCAACAAAAGAACTTAATTAATGAAAATAAAACTTGACAGACTAACAAAAAATAGATGGTAGAGAAGAACAATTACCTCTGTAGGAGACAAGCTTTGCTTATACAACTCCTCAGCCTTCTCACCGGAGAGTCTCTGGCAGAAATGGAGATCAACCAAACAACTCTTAATCTCATCCCAGTTGTTCCCATTGACCACATACTTCTGCAACCAACGTGAATAGTCCCCAAGCCTATACTCCTTGTACCCTTGTCCCGATATCACTTTTCCGACTCCCTTATTCGTCACAATGATCGTAAACACCGTGAAACAAAACAAGCCCACGATCAAAACTAACGTTAGAAACAAGTATATCCACAGGAGGAGAGAGACTCTGCAACACGAACCGATCAATCCAAGTAATGACATGAAGAACAAGGACACACCCAGAATTAAAAGAGGCTTTTGCATGACTTTTTGGCAGAGAGAGCCATTGTGCGTGTAGAGCCAAAGGGAATAGCCTATGGCTACGACAGATATAAGAAGGGTGAGGGTGTTTAGGAACGTTATCAGTGCGTTGCTTACGCGAACCATGGTGGCGGTGAATGGGAAGAGAGATGATTATGATCAGATTTCACAGAGAGAGAGAAGAAAACCCTAGAATCTGATGAGGGGTGATTGTTGTTTTGATGTGTAAATTTGGGGAAGAGAGAGAAGAGCGAGAGACAGGAACGGAATTGGCGAGCAAAGAGAGGCGATAAAGGGTGGGTGTTTACTACGAATTGTTGTAACTGTCATTATCCTTAATTCAAACTACAACATTGGAAACGGTTAAGTTCGATGCATGCTATGGCCTTGTCCTTCATGTTTGTAAAATTTGCGAAAATGCCATTGCATAATCTCAGTTGGGTTGGCCGAATTAGAATTCTGTATCGAGTATTCATGTTGTGATTATAATTCTTGGTTTGGGTGACATGATTATATAAGTCAATATAAATTAGGTCGTGTTTTAAATTGTAATAGTATTACTCTTCTTTCGACATCAATTGTACATAATCTTTCTATCTATCTTATAGTAGATAGCAGTGTAGTAGCCAAAGGCGACCCAACCAATATGGGGCCCCTGGCGAAAAATATTCAGAGCGATCCAATGCTATGAAATATAAGTATTGATCCTGTGCAATGCACGGTCAAGTGTAAACCCCTCTTGGTGTGTGTTAAACCCTCACAACACACATTTCAAAGACTACACAAACCACAAAAATAGAGCAAAAGAAAGAAGGCAGAGGGAGGGAGAAAAAGAGGGTAAATCATACCGGTAAGAGAGACATGATTTGGGACTTTGGGAGTGATATGAAGAAGACGAAGCTGTGATCGATAGACTTACTAGACGTGGGATAAGGGGAGAGTTCAACACGAGAGAGAGAGAGAGAGAGAGAGAGAGAGTGAAAACCTAATTGAATATGGTGCTAATACCTACAGTAAAAAAAAAACAAGTATGGTATGTACCACAAGAAAATCGAGTATGGTCAGCTGAATTAAAAAGAACACTACTACAATGGAAAAAATATGGCACCTTTTAAAATTATAGTTGCACATAAAATACAAAAGGATGGGAAGCTTCTCCTATCTCCTTTTCCTTGTACCATTATGAAAGAAACATTGGTCCTTTTGACCTCTTATTTGTATCCACTCCAAATGTAATGATTGATAACAACATTGCTAGGATAGGCGGCTCATACGTAGAGTATAGAGAGTTACACCCAGCCCAAGAGGATAATGGCCAGTTGTCGGAGCGTGAGCATATTGAATTTAGATCAAATTTAGTTTCAGAGATGTTTAAGCTTAAAAAAGGTGACTATGTAAGTAGGATAGTAGGGCATATGAATCGCATTAGTGCGATTTGGCTAGCTGAATCGCCCAACGAACAAATCACCTTTCTAAATAATTTTATGTCAAAACAAGGTTACTATTGAATTCGGAAGGTTAAAAAACCTTGGAAGAGGTAATATGAGGTATATTAAAATTTTGAAAATATTCTAGAGTTAAAACGCATTTTGGAGAGAGTTCAGGTGGGTACAAAATTTGACACTACCTCAGTAATTTGCCTATAACTTTTTACTCTGATATCCAATTAATCTTATTTTTGAAAATTAGAAACTAGACTACAAAAGTTTATTTCATGAACGTTTCGTGACTTGACCTCTAACTAAGCTAAAACTATCTTGGAAGTTCAGGTAGAAAGTAGAGCCCGTACGAACACGAATGGATCTGTTCAAACACCCTGTTTGATGAATTTTTCAGTAGAAAACATGAGATACTGGGAGAAAACGCTGTTCAAAAGCCAAAGACTCCATTCCAATACCCTAGGCACCATTCAAACATGCATGTGTGATTCTGAATGATAAGGCCGCACCTTCTGAACTATTTTTCACCCTATATAAACCTTACAGAGATTTGAGAGAATGGAAAACAAACGAGATCTTGACGGATTAATACGTAGAAATCATATCGAAACAAGTTAGGATCATCTATTCATGAATCAAGGTAGGGATTCTTTTTCAAATTCACTCATTGAGGATTAGGGTTATTTATATCTATGTTTTGATTCCTATTCAATTAAATATGTTAGATCTACAATATTTTTACTCACTTTTTAATACTATGATTCGTTTCTTAGAAGAATTACATGCTTTACATTATAAATTGCATGTTCTTGATAAAAACCCTAAATTTTGATTATTGTCAACTTGAATGCTTTCTTTTACGATTTCTTATACGTTTCGATTGAATTACTCTGGTACTTTGAGAATTGTGGGATTTTGAATGTTGAAAAAATGTGATTTTTTATGAAAGCATATCTCTTGTGGTGGATTGATGAACTAAGGTTTCATGCAACCTATATCGCAGAGTATTTAGACGTGTTTCTTACCTTGAATGGTTTGAAGGTTTTCTATCACTCTTAATGGGATTGGTTCCTTATGGGGTTCCAAACCACTATTCGTTCCATAAGAGACCGAGACTGAGGATTGTTATACCATAATCCTAGGAAGAATTTGTCACTGTTGATGCATCAGTACACGCCCTTCTTGAACTGTGTGACCCTATAGGAAGTTATTTTTGAGAAGGTGGAGTTTTGTGATCCATATATGTTTGTTATGTGGATTCTTGTTGATTCAACCTACATACATGAGATAATGTGTTATGAGGTTGGGTTTTTTAATAATTCTATTCTATTATGAACTTTACTGTTTTATACTGTAAACTTGAGATTGTCAATTGGTACAGTTTTATTTCAAAATTATGTATGTTATTTTTATAAACTGATACGTACTTGTTTTATTATTTTGAAATCTTGTTTGGGTCGAGAAGGTTTCCTATTGGGTTTATTCCTCACCCTACCATAATATTTTTCAGATCTTTGTGTTGAAGAGGATTCAGAGCGAGATGAGTAGGTAGTTTGAAAAAGACTTTTAGTTTATGAGTTTTAGATTTGACAGTTTACTTATGTTATGGATGTTTTTTACTTAGTGTTGGTGAACATCATTTTGGGTTGGATGTAACCTTAAGGATTTTTTTATGTTTGATTTGAGATTTTAATTTAGTTATCTATTAGATGATGGATGATTTTATTGTTTTAATAATTTATTTTAGTATGCTCTCCTGATTTGATGGATTATAGTTAATTAATGCCTAAATATGAATTTAGGACATTACAAAGTTGGTATCAGAGCTCAGGAATTATGTATTACATTGGGCTATGTGAGTTAAACAATGGGAGTAGGAAGTATGAGATGGAATGAACCTTAGGCTTAAATCTTCTTGGAACTGTGTGCTTATAGGATAAGTGTGAGTTGATGCTTAGTGAGTTTCAAATTGTTTATTTATACACCTTCATGAGTTTTAACTAACTTAGAAGAATTGATGTTCTTTTTAGGATGAATATCTTAATTATCTATCATGTCATTATGGACTATTTTAGGAAATTGATGGTATTTTGTCTTGGTGAGTAAGGGATGATAGGCATGAATCTTTAAGGAATTGAGTTTGGTTTATGAGGCATAAATTTTGGGTTTTACTTAAGGTTATTGGTTTTGTGATGAAATGATATGAGTTAAATTTAATTGTCTTGGTTAAACATAAGATAGAATGATATTTGGTAATTATTCTATGATTGGTGATTGTGACCTTTATTATATTGAAAATCCTACAATGGTTTGAAAGTATAAGATCAAAGTATGTTAGGTGAGCGAGGGATGACGAAATATAATGGGGTTATTATTTTATGTAAGGTTGATTTTTGGTGATTACCGAATTATTAGGGTTGCCTAAAATTTCAAAAAACAAAGAATTGTGGTGATTTTGTCTGCAGTATGCAAACAAGGTAAACTAGGACATCCTTAGAACAGTCAAGACTTAGTACAGAAATGGTTATGTGAAGTCATAGGTAAGATTCGAAAAAGCTAGGAAATTGAGGCACAATATAATTTTTTGCTTATGGTGGAAAAACTTTGTGAGTAATATATCTTCCCCTAACATGAGTACAATGTTCAGATATGATCCATTGTAGGAATACGATAGAATAACAACGAACGAGAGTCAGTTCTAGAAATAAGGGTAAGAATTGTGGTTATGTTTTTTAGATGGATTGGAGATCATTCTATAACTACTTATTTGAGGTTACCAATTTTGGTTTTAAAATATTATGGAGAGCTGACTAAGGTAATTTTAGAAATATTAATTACTTAAAAATGTCATTAGTAGAATACTAATTGAAGATATTATACTTAAGTAATCTTGTTTCGCTGTGGGGCTTAGTTTACTACCCTTAGACTCTCTTAAGTTATTAACACAACCATTTTGTTGGGTTTGCTATTTACTCTTTAAAATTTTATTGAGTTAAAAATCAAATGACTAACGCTTAGTTACAACTCAATAATCCAATATCCTAAATTCCTGAATTTTTGTTGGTTTTGATCGTGTAATCTCTTACTCGGTGTATTCTTTAATCGTAATTTATATATAACTAAGATTACAACTCAAGTTTGGTAACTGCATTACCTTTATCCCTCGCACTACCTCCATCCCTTCTAAAATATTTTCTTAATTGACAAATAGATTTATGGTTGTAGTTCGAATTATTGTTAAGCCACAAAACTAATATTCTGGCTATGAAGACTACTCCTCCTAAGCATACTCACTGTGAATTTCATGTCTTTGTCTATGCATAGCATGGGTTACCGTTAGTATCTTACTATTTTATATAACAATCAATTTTTTGGTAAAATGGAATGAGGTTGCTTCCCTCCTATGTTCTCTATTTCTCATGTTTTTCATTTATATTTAATTAAACATCGGTATTAAACATCGGTGTCGTTATTAGTTACTCCAGTAACCCACTAAGTTCTCCATAGATAGAATAAGCTCAACAGAAGGATCAGGGTACAAAGTGGGGTATTCAGGATCATCCCAATAACCTTGATGGTGGAAATGATGAAGTTCAAGCACCCAAGTCCTCATACAAACAAATTTTATACACTAGATCTATAAATTACTTGAAGTTCAATTTGAAATGCAAACAATAGCCAACTCAT